TTTTTAAACTGTAGGCCACAAAATAGTAGCGAACTATACTAAGTGATATGTATAGTCCACTGTGGAGTGTGGTCTCTTTATTCTCCCAAACAGCCCACACTGGTAAAGGTTATGAAAAAACCCTTGCCTCCAAAAATGTTTTTTTTTTTCTTTGCTGTGAAATTACCATTTTTTTCTTTGTTCCTTTTTTAGTTAGCTTTGTTTGCCATTCTGGAAATTCTAAATACTGCTTTTGGATTCTGGCACCCAGTGGTATTCAGTATCTTTGATTTTCCAGGTTTTACAGCTATAGCACAGAAAATATTCCTAATGGGTATCCTACTGCTCAAGCTTAGCTTTAGTCTTTATTTTTACTACAATGATAAATTAGTATAAATTGCCCTTTCCTCATGTTTTGCACAATAAGCATATGCCTCACTATATAAAAAGAACTACTATCAACTTGCATTTTGTTTTGCCTCCAAAACATTTACTTGCAGCAAAATGTCATTTTTGGTGGATTAAAAAAGTGCTTGTACATGTTATTTCCACTTCTTAATAATCAAAATGCTATTGGAAATAAGATTGATTAAAAAGCATGACCTGGTGATACTATAATCAACTTTATCATTTAAAGCAGTAACACTAACAGCCTTAAGGCATTCATTACAGTAGAAATGTCAGCCTCATAAACATCTCCTTTCTCTAGGCTCACACACTGATGCAAAGGAGTAAGCCCCAGGAACTGTTTCATTACTATTTATGAGATTCTTGGGTTCCCATACATTCTGCTCTGCCTAAAAATGGCTGCTATATAGTTAGTTGTCAAACTGTTTTTTTCCCCTTTATTCATAGTGTTTCCAGATATTTTGAACCCAGAAAACACCTAGTCAGTACTAAACTTTGCAAACTGGTGATGTGGAGGACTTGTTTTGAAATAGGGTCTTCGGAGATGTTATCAGTTAACATGAAGTCATAGTGGATTATAGTGCTTCTGATCCAATTTGCACTGTATTTTTATAAAAGAGAGCAGGCATTGAAGGGCAGACAAAGAAGATAAAGATAAGGAAGTGTGCTTCTGAAACCCATGTAACAGTTAGGGCCTCCAGAAGCTTGGAGAGAAGAAAGGAAATTGCCCTAGAAACTTTGAATTGAGCAAAGTTCCTACTTGATAGCCACAAATACTGTGGGGCACTGATCAGCCACAAACACAGTTGAGAACTTTCAATAACTTTAAAAAAAAATCATTTTATTAGGGGCTCATGCAACTCTTATCACAATCCATACATACATCAATTTTACAAAGCACATTTGTACATTTGTTGCCCTCATCTTTCTCAAAACAATTGCTCTCCACATAAACTCCTGGCATCAGCCTCATTTTCCCCTCCCTCCCCGCTCCCCCCTTCCTCATGAACACTTGATAATTTATAAATTATTAATTTGTCATATTTTACACTGTCCGACATCTCCCTTCACCCACTTTTCTGTTGTCAATCCTCCAGTGAAGGGGTTATATGTAGATCCTTGTAATCGGTTCCCACTTTCCACCCCACCTTCCCTCCACCCTCCCGGTATCGCCACTCTCACGACTTTTCCTGAACGGTTCATCTGTCCTGGATTCCCTGTGTTCCATTTTCAATCTGTTACAGTGTACATCCTCTGGTCTAGCAAGATTTGTAAGGTAAAATTGGGATCATGATAGTGGGGGTGGGGTGGGGAAGGAAGCATTTAGGAACTAGAGGAAAGTTTTATGTTTCATTGCTGCTACACTGCACCCTGATTGGCTCATCTCCTCTCCAAGACCCTTCCATAAGGGGATGCCCAATTGTCTACAGACAATTGGGTCCCCCTCCACCAGCACTCCCCCTCATTCACAACAATATGATTTTTTGTTCTATGATGCCTGATACCTGATCCCTTCAACACCTCATGATCGCACAGGCTGGTGTGCTTCTTCCATGTGGGCTTTGTTGCTTCTGAGCTAGATGGTGGCTTGTTTGCCTTCAAGCCTTTAAGACCCCAGACACTATATCATTTGATAGCTGGGTACCATCAGCTTTCTCCACCACATTTGCTTATGCACCCGCTTTGTCTTCAGTGATTGTGTCGGGAAGGTAAGCATCATGGAATGCCAGTTTAATAGAACAAAGTATTCTTGTATTGAGGGGATACTTGAGTGGAGGCCCAATGTCCATCTTCTACCTTAATACTAAATGTGTTAGTCTAGGTACTCTATATAAACAAAACCACAGAAACTCATGTATAAGAAAGAGTTTTATATAAAGGTTAAGTGAGCATCAAGAAAACATCCCAACCCAGTGCTGCCAAAGCCCACAAGCCCAACATTAACCCATTAAGCCACATGTCCAAAAACAGTCCACCAAGTCCTCCTCCATCTCACAAAACAGACACAACGATGCCAACTGCAGGAGGAAAGCAGAGTCAATGAATGTGTAAACATCTCAGTGCTGCTGGCAGTGGTCTCTACACGGGTGCTCCAACAGCCAGGGCTGCATCAGGGTAGGTCCATGTGGCTTCTCCTTGGGGATGTCTTGCAGGAAGTCAGCCTTGCAAGCTGAAGCAGGGAACTGCTAAGGCAGCTGTACCCTGGTGCGACCATCACAAAGCAAGAGACCCAAGAACTTGAAAGGCGAGGCCCACGGAGCCATTTAGCCCTCCTCCCTTCAATTAACCCCACGTGTGTTTTTTGGCCAGGTTGGCAAAATAAACTAACTCACTAAACCTATAAATATATGCACATAGATCTATTTCCACTTCCTCATATATAAATATATTTACATATGTACATGACTTTATTTAGACATTTATATATGCCCTTTGCCTCCTAGCTCTTTCCTCTATTTCCTTTTATTTTCCTCATGTCCCACTATCATGTTCAGCTTTCATTTTGGTTTTAGTAATTCCTCTTGGCTACATTACCCTTTGTCATGCCCTACCAGGCCTCCTACCTCACCACGGATTTGGATCACTTGTAGTTCCCTTGTTCCTGGGTTTGTTAATACCACTTCCTTTCCCCCCTCTCCCATGTCCTCATTGTTTTCTCCTCCAGATTGTTCATCCTGCCTATGCTAGACAGGCCTGCGGAGATAATTGCATGCACAAAAACAAGACAGAGCAAAACCAAGCAACAAAAGAAAATAAAATAACTACAACAACAATCCAATGACAACAAAACAAAACAAAACACAACAACAAGAAAGAAAAGCCGTGCCCCTGCTACCCTTTTTATTTCCTTTCTCGCCTCCTTTTTAGTTGGCTACTCTATGTATCCCTGGATTTGGTCTGGCCCCTGCCATACTACCTGTTCCTCAGCCCAGGGATGTTTGTACACAGTAGCTTTTTCTCTACACCCCTTTTACAATTTTTTTCAATGACTTTTTTTGTAATGGTATCAAATACTGAACTATTTCTTTGAAGAACTTTAACAGACTAAACTTGACTTTACCAGTGTGATCCTAAAGAGAAAGAAAAGTCAAAGCCATTACTACAAGAGGTGTCAGTGGTCTAGTAAAAGCGAAAGTGGTGGGTCAAGGACATACGTGCTTGGGTGGGATGGTCAAGGCATTTGCTTGTTGTTTTTCAGAATGGCCAGAGAGTGAGAGTTATTATGACAGTACTTAGTGTGAAGAGATTTGGGGTAAATTAGCCAAATACCAGGGAAAACTTCACCACATTGCTCTTCTTCACTATAGCAATATTCCTATTCATTATTCTCTCAAAAAAAAGAACAATTTTGTGTGTTCAAATGAAAAATCATTAGGCACCACTTTATAGTCTTGATTTGGGTTCTTCCTATTTCATTTTGGTTCCTTATCTTAAGAACAGTATTTTTTCTTTACTTTATAATGTAATATTTTGTATTGTCACAGTGATATAGTTAATTTTTCAAAAACCAGTTCTTCAGGGATTGTTTAAATGACTTGTATCATTGCTTAGAAAAATGTCTTGACTATGATGAAACTTACGTTGAAGACTGAAATGTATATATATATTTTTTTCTTACATTTATTGGGGGCTCTTACATCTCTTATCACAATCCATACATTCATCCAGTGTGTCAAGCATATTTGCACACATTCCACCATCTTCATTTTCAAAGCATTCTCTTCCCACTTGAGCCCCTGATATCAGCTCCCCATTTCTTCCCGCTCGATGCCCCACCCAGCCTCCCTCATGACCCTTGATAAGCTATAGAATACTATTTTCATATCTTACATCGTCTTCCCTTTCCTCTCACCCACTTTTCCATTATTTGTCCCCTTGGGAGGAGGTTAAATGTTGATCCTTGTGATCAGTTCCCCATTTCTCATCCCACCCTCCCCTAATCCTCTTGGTATCTCTAATCTCATTGTTAGCCCGAGGGGTTCATCTATTCTGGATTCCCTCTGGTGTAGGATCTTATCTGTAGCAGTGTGCACATTCTGAACTAATCTGATTTGTAAGGTAGAACTGAGGTCATGATAGTGGGGGGAAAGAAGCACCAAAGAACTAGAGGAAATTTATGTGTTTCTTCGGTGCTATAATGCACTCTGACTGGCTCATCTCTTCTCTGTGACTCCTCTGTGAGGGGATGTCCAATTGTCTACAGAAGGGCATTGGGTCTCCACTCCATGACTCCCCCCATTCACATTGGGTATGATTTTGCTCGGGGTCTTAGATGCCTGATATCTGTTCCCCTTGACACTTCATGATCACACAGGCTGGTGTGCTTCTTCCATGTGGGCTTTGTTGCTTCTGAGCTAGACGGCCACTTGTTTATCATCAAGCCTTGAGGATCCCAGACGCTATATCTTTTGATAGCCAGAACCATCAGCTTTCTTCATCGCATTTGCACCCATTTTGTCTTCAGGGATCGGATCATGTCAGGAAGGTGAGCATCACAGAATGCTGGATTGTTAGGACAAAGTATTCTGGGTTATTTTCATTTTTTAAAAATAATCATTTTATTGGGGACTCATACAACTCATCACAATCCATACATACATTCATTGTATGTCAAGCACATTAGAACAAGATGTTCTTGTGTTGAGGAAATCCTTGAGTCAAGGCCCAATGTTCATCTGCAACCTTAACATCTAGATATGAATACATAGTTTTATTCCCCTCTTGATATATATATATATATTTATATATATATATATATATATA